GAAAAAAAAAAAAACAACAAAAACCTCATATGGCAAATAAAAATCAGTTTCTTTTTTTTTTATTAAAGATTTTTATTTATTTTTTGACAGAAAGAGACAGCAAGAGAGGAAACACAAGCAGGGGGAGCGAGAGAGGGAGAAGCAGGCTTCCCGCCGAGCAGGGAGCCCAATGTGGGGCTCGATCCTAGGACCCTGGGATCATGCCCTGAGCTGAAGGCAGACGCTAAACGACTGAGCCACCCAGGCGCCCCACAAAAATCACTTTCAAATCGTCTAGAGAAAAAAAAACGCAAAATAATAAAGCAATGAAGGCAATACAGAATACATTCATGACCCCAGGAAAGATCCCTTAAAACATGATGGAAAAGATATATTAAAAAAAGCATCATTTTTACTACATTAAAGTTTAAAACACCGTAATTCATCAAAAGATACCAGAGTGAAAAAAAGTGAGCCACAAAGAGGGAGAAGATATTTGCAACACATAAAACAGAAAGAACTCACATTTGGAAAAATAAAAATTCCTATATATCAACTGGGGGAAAGACTCAATATACAACTGAATAGAAAAATGCGATTAAGGGGGCGCCTGGGTGGCTCAGTCGTAAGTGTCTGCCTTCGGCTCAGGTCATGATCCCAGGGTCCTGGGATTGAGCTCTGCATCGGGCTCCCTACTCCGCAGGAAGCCTGCTTCTCCCTCTCCCACTCCCCCTGCTTGTGTTCCCTCTCTTGCTGTGTCTCTATCAAATAAATAAATAAAATCTTTAAAAAAAAGAAAAATGCGATTAAGAGTTGAATATGTACTTCAGAAAGAGGAAATCCAGATGCCCCAAAATAGGTACTCAACAGCAACAGAAATCAGGAAATATGAATAAAAAGCACAGTAAGCTATGACTATATCCCCACCACAGAAGCACAGTGTTGGGGAGATGTGGGCCAACAGCACAACCCATACATGGCCAAAATTTACTAGAAATACAAAGCATTGGACATGACCCCAGATCTACTGAATCAGAACTCTGATGGTGGAGTCCAACAATCTGTGTTTACCAAGCTTTCCAGAGCATTCTGATGCAGGCGTGAACTTCAGAACCACTGTGTGCCACACTATGCATATGAGAATCATCACATTCAAAAACTGGAAACAGCCCAAATGCCCGTCAACAGAATGGATAAACTGTAATATTCCTATAATGTATCATAGAGCAAGGAAAATGTGCAAACTACAACTATAGACAATAACATGAAGGAATCTTATAATCTTGAGAGAAAGAATCAAGACACAAAAGAATACATACAATATGATTCCATTTATATAAAGGCAAAGAGGCAAAACTAAACTATATTGTTTTGGAATGCATACTTAACTGGTAAAAATATAAAGAAATTTGAGAAAGTGATTACTATTAAGGTAGGACAGTGGTTTACTCTAGGGAAGAAGGAGTGGGTGTGATTAGGAAAGGATACAGAAAAAGGGACTTCGGAGGTGTTGACAACACACTTTATCAGTGTGATGGTTACATGTTTGTTTCAAAATGATATAATAAACAGTACATTTCATGCACCTTTCTGAATCTAAACTGTGTTCTAATTTTTTTTTTAAAGCAAACACACTCCCTTCTCAAGGTCCCACATCTGAAGCTGTAAAGTAATTGGAGAAAATAAGAGTTAGAGGCTACCGAGCTTCATTTTAAGCCACGGTTAATTTGCTTCAGAGGATGAAATGAGGCAGGCCTGAAGAGTGCTCTACAGGGCACAAGGGAAACACTGTCGGAGTGCTGATTCAGCTTTCAAGGATCCCCTTTCTATGGGATCAGCAGGGGCAGACCTCAGCAGCCATGCTGGAGCTCCATAACCCTTCTCCAAGTCCCAGTGAATTAGAGCAGGAGGAGAAATCTGACTCACACTGGACTATCCAGATTCATCCACCCAGGAGTGAATTTTGAGCTGAGACACAGACTGAACAGGAGTTGGAGGCTGAAGCACCAATATGGCACCACTCAGGAGGAAAGGTCCAAACAACTGCCAGATAGGTCACTCCCACCATACTCTGGCTTCTACCCTGCCCAAGGCCTAGTAGGTTCTATAAAAAATTTCTGTACGTTAGTTACCATCAGAGGTTGCAAGCAATCAGAACCCAAATCAAATAAGCATAAGGAAAAAAAAGTGTAACAACAGTAAGGGTCCTTCAACAAAACTGACAAGCCTTTAGCAAACTGCTAAAAGTAGGAATGAAAGAGAGGACATTACCACTAACTTTTCATAAACTGAAAGAATATAAAGGACTACTATGAACTTTATGCCAACAAATTAAATAACTGAGATGAAATGAACACATTCCCAGAAAAACACAAATTACCAAAATTGACTCAAGAAGAAGTAGAAACTCTGAATAGACCTATAACAAGCGAAGAAATGGACTTAGTAATTAAAATGTTTCCTACAAAGAAAACCCCAGGTCCAGATGGCTCCACTGATGAATTCAATCAAATATTTTAAAAATAAATGATGCCGATACTCTATAAATTCTTCCAGAAAATAAAGAAGGAAGGAACACTTCCAAACTCATACTTTGAGCCAGTATCACACCCTGATACCAAAGGCAGACAAAAATACACACACACTGGGACGCCTGGGTGGCTCAGTTGGTTAAATGTCTGCCTTCAGCTCAGGTCATGATTCTGGAGTCCCAGGATGGACCCCATGTCAGGCTCACTGCTCAGCAGGGAGTCTGCTTCTTCCTCTGCCCCTCCCAGCTTGTGTTCTCTCTCACTCACTTTCTTTCTCTGTCAAATAAATAAATCTTTTAAACACACACACACACACACACAAAATATAGACCAATATCTAATAAACAAAACTATCAACACAAAAATCCTCAAAATATATTAGTAAACCAAATCCAACACATAAGAACCATACAAAAAACACCATGCCCAAGTTGGATTTATCCTAGGATGCAAGGTTAGTTTAACATCTGAAAATCAATGTAATATACCCTATTAATAAAGGACAAAAACCATAAGATCATTTCAACTGATGCAGAAAAACCATCTGACAAAATCCAACACCAGTCATGATAAAAATTCCCAAGATTCCCACAGAAAACTGATGATATACTAAAAACAAATGATAATTTGAGGATGGCCGATTTACAAAGGTGTGCGTGTAGGGGAACCACAAGGGAAAGTGCAGGAACCTGAAGCTAGTAGAAGCTAAGCTAGTGTCATCTCCAGGCCCAAAGGGATAAGGAGAGGAAATAATTACCAGAATGCAGAAGGAGAGTCAGAGACTCCTGCCTCACCAGGTGCTCTGTGAACTTCAGTGGAGGGACACAGCCAACCCAAAACATCTTGCAAGGAGGGAACCAAGGGAATAAATAAATAGTCTGGGCTCATTCTTCTCCCTCCCCCTACCTCCTGCCAGACCTCTTCTTTGGCCAATCCCATCAGGAAACCTTGGATGCCAATGAGCGGAGATTAGATATTCAGCACAAAGAGGTAATTCCCTAGTTCTTGCACTTTGGAAGAATTCTGAACTAGAGCTTCAAGAACTAGAGCTGGTGTCTCAACATTGTTAGATCTTCCTGCTTCTGTCAGTGTGCTGCCTCTGCTTGGTGGATACTGCAACTGCAGTCACAGCAACCTCAGGAATAGAGAGCAACCCTCTCTTTAAATGGCTGTCTCAGCTTTAGAGAAAAACCCCTGATTAGCCTATGCAGTCACATGCCCAGGGCAGTGGGACACTCATGACTGGCCAGCTACAAGCCATATACCCACCCCTGTCTGAGGTTTGTTAGTAAACAGCACTCTTTCTTGTAAATTCCTTCCTTTTGTCAAGGTTAGCCAGAGCTGGATTCTGCTATTTGGAATCAAAAGAACCTTCATCTAGGCTGAAAGTAACCATGATCAAAAGCAGGAGAAAGATCCAAAATACAGTCAGCCTTGCGTGTTAGAACTTCCAACCGGAGGATTTCCCAAACACCAAGAGAGGAATCTTTGGGGAAAAAAACTACTGGGGAAATGGAGGGCCCAGAGCACTGTCCAGCATCCAGACCACAGCTACTCCATCTAGCACCAGGAATGGCAATTCCCAGCGCTTCTTTCCTGGTGCCCACACTGGTGTCCCCACTACCTAGGAGATGCTCAAGGAGGAGCACAAGGTGGCTGTACTCCGGGTGACCTATAGCTTAGCTCCCACGGTGACCACCATGATCAACATCCGCTGCAAGATGTCGGTGCCCAACTACATCATCTGGTCTCTCTGCAACACAATCTTCATGAACTTGTGCTGCCTGGGTTTCGTGGCATCCACCTACTCCATGAAGTTTAAGGACCAGAAGGTGGTGGGTGATGTGGCTGGAGCCCAGGCCTATGCCTGCACCACCAAGTGCCTGAACATCTGGGCCCTGGTCTTAGGCCTCCTTCTGATCATTGCGTTCATCAATATTTCTTTTTTAAAGATTTTATTTATTTATGAGAGAGAGAGAGAGAGAGAACATGGGGGGGAGGGTAGAGGAAGAAGCAGACTCCCCAGTGAGTAGGGAGCCCGATGTTCATCATTATTTTTCATCATTATTTCTGCCACTGGCTCACTGATAATTTTCTAAGCAATTTCAGAGAACATAAAACATTATGGAAGCTATTAGCAGCTGCCGTAGCCTGAGGCTGTCACTCCTATCACAGAATTTTATATACATGTCAGTCTGCAATTGAATTCAATAAAGTACTTGTGTGTGGGGAGGAAAAAAAAAAGAACTTCCAAACTCAGCAAAATCATCCTCATTCTTGCTCAAAATCATAATTTTAATGATGGATATTTCCACACACTCAAAATGGTTTTGAACTCTAACATTACATATGAAATGTACATTACACTCTAGATGAGAAAACCAAAATACCAACAAAAAAATCCTTTCCCAAAGTTCCTTTCTCACCACTTAGGATTTAGGAATGGGTCACAATTTCAGTTATCTTTTTTTATTAAGTCCTATCACTCACCTGGAGTCCACCTTCCTCTGCATTCTCTGCTTACTTCTCTTTTGATGGAAATTTGGCAGTGGCTTGATATACACTTCTCAGTGAGCAGATTCTTCATGAATCAAAAAGTCTTTTATCTTCCCTTTTTAACTATAAAAAAAGAGGGAAAAGGAGAGTAAATTATCTGAAGCCTCTTAGGAGCCACATTTCTGAACAGCTACATGCTAGCTCCTAATCTCTTCTTAATTCAACATTAGATGAACATGGCAAGTCTATGAAATTTTTTAAATTGCATTTTGAGAGACTATGGACTCCGAGAAACAAACGGAGGTTTTAGAGGGGAGGGAGGTGGGGGGATGGGTTAGCCCGGTGATGTGTATTAAGGAGGGCACGTATTGCATGGAGCACTGGGTGTTATATACAAACAATGAATCATGGAACACTACATCAAAAACTAATGATGTAATGTATGGTGACTAACATAATAAAAAAAATTAAAAAATAAAGTTATTTTATAAGAAAGGAAACTGGGAGGAGAGAGAATGACACTCAAAAGGCTATAACTGGCTCATTCTTCTTATCCAGGTGATGCTCTAAGACCTCCAACTTCCCTTCACAGGAACACTAGGAGAGGCCTAGATTTCTTATTTTTTGCCAAATCAATTTTTTGTTGTTGTCAATGTTACCTCTAAGAATATCCAGGGAGTTTTGGTCAAAAGTAAATTACCGTGTACAGTTCCCATTTTCATTTGGTGATAATTTCTACCAGTAATATTCATTATGAACCAATAAGCAACATAGTTTTTATTTATTTCTTAGCACAAAGAATAGCAATGTTGTGGGTTGGATTGTGTCCCCCTAAAAGAAGTCCAACTCTGAGTACCTATGAATTGACCTGATTTGGAAATTGTCTTTGCAGATGTAATTAAGGTGAGGTCACACTGGAATAAGGTGGGCCCTTAATCCAGTATAACTGGCATCTTTATAAAAAGAGGGGATGAGACTGAGGGACAGATACACACAGAAAGGAGAATGCCATGTGAAGAAAGACATACAGGGAGAACAGCATGTGATGATGAAAGCAGAGACTAGAAAGATGTGTCCACAAGGCAAGGAACACCAAGGACTGCTGGCAACACCAGAAGCTAAGAGAAACGCATGAAACAGATCCTCCTCCAGAGCCTCCAGAAAGAGGATGGCCTGTTGACATCTTGATGTCAGATTTCTAGCTTCCGGAACTATGAAACAATACATTTCTGTTGTTTATAAGCCACCAAGTATATACTATTTTGTCAGAGCAGCCTTTGGAAACTAATTCAAGTAGTAACAAAAAGGAGTAAGATTTAAGTACATGGTGGAAGAAAGCTAATAGGGTGGACTTGTCTTATGTTGAGTAATTGTGAGATATTTATAATAAGACATTCATTCTAAAAGAATGAAATCACCGTTTATATTTCAATGACAATCAGAGAAGGAATTAGCCAGAAAAGAAAGTTAAACCATAAAAAACGAATAGACCTTACTGAGATCAAACATTTGTCCTCCTCGTCTTTCTGGTATCACACTCCAAGTAACAAAAGTCACCATTAGTGACTATTTCCGTAAATAAAGGATATTTCAAACAGGGATTTTTGGCTAAATACTGCTATAATAAATGAGTCACCACCTTGGGTTCATGTTTTGTTGTAATGATTAATGATTCTCTGGGATACCTACAGAGTGGGATACCAACAAGAAGCAGGCCTACAGAATCTCAGAAGAGCTCAGAACTAGAAGGAACAAAGGAATGGCTCCCAGAACTGAAGCCACAAGCCACAAATGAGGGGACTGAATGAAAGTCTACATGGTGAGCATTTGGGGCCACTGGTCTCCTTCCCAACCCTCCCAGGCAGGGTATCCAGCTCCTTCTCCACACCTTGCTTCCAGAATTCTGGCAGCTCAACTGGTACCTCCCAGTCAGGAGACTGGAAGAACCTTTGCAGAAGAAGCTAAAAACTAAAAGCCCTCAAGAGGGCGCCTGGGTGGCTCAGTTGGTTAAGCGACTGCCTTCGGCTCAGGTCATGATCCTGGAGTCCCGGGATCGAGTCCCGGGATCGAGTTCCGGGATCGAGTCCTGGGATCGAGTCCCGGGATCGAGTCCCATATCGGGCTCCTTGCTCAGCAGGGGGTCTGCTTCTCCCTCTGACCCTCCCCCCTCTCATGTGCTTGCTCTCTCTCATTCTCTCTCTCTCAAATAAATAAATAAAATCTTTAAAAAAATAAAAGCCCTCAAGATTCTCCTATCTGTTCCCTACCTCCCTCAATGAAAATGCACGCTCACCCCTAGAGAGAAGCTCACAAACCTGCAAGTCCTGCTCAGACACTGGGAGCGTCTAACTAATTTCTCAGTTGCTGACAATTAAGTATGAATGGACAATCAAGAATCACAAGAGATTTGGATGTGACCTCCAACAAGAAAGAGACCAAAGCAAATGAAGAAATCTGAGGAAGTCCACGACCTGTGATGTACTCCTGCCAAGAACTTGAATCTAAATATCATCAAGCATCATCTACAACTAAGTACCAACTTACCAAAAATACAGGGAATAAAAATGATTCTGCAATCAGCAAAATTGGTGATGTAGGAAACTTCAAAGGACTAACGACCCAGTTCCTTCAACAAATAAACTGCAAAGAGGGGAAACTTACACATTAAAAGACACTTAAGATGTAGATCAATCAAATGCAATGTATGGACTTTGATTTTGAATCTTGATTTTAACTAACTACAAACCAACTGTCAAAAAATATGAAACAATCAGGGAAACTTAAACTTTAAACTTTTTCTATTCTAAAAAATATTTTAATGAGTTATTAAAGAATTAATTTTTGGGGGGGTGCCTGGGTGGTTCAGTTGGTTGGGTGTCCGACTCTTGATCTCAGGGTTGTGAGCTCTGAGCTCAGCATGGAGTCTGCTCAAAATTCTCTCTCTCCCTCTCCCTTTGTTCCTCCCCTGGCTCATGCACACTGTCTCTCTCTCACTAAAATAATCTTAAAAAAAGAAAAGAAGAAAGTCTCTCAAAACTGAAGGATGCAAATCCTCAGATGAGAGGTCCTGCACAGAGGCCAAATGTCAGGGATCAAACACTTTTTCCCTGTGCAAGGAGAAAAAGTTTAAGCTATCCCATCCTTTTTTTTTTATTAAGATTTTATTTATTTATTTGGGAGAGAGCACAAGCAGGGGGAGCTGCAGAGGGAGAGGGAGAAGCAGGCTCTCCACTAAGCAGGGAGCCCGACGCAGGGTTCAATCCCAGGACCCCACCACCCCGGGATCATGACCCTAGCCGAGGGGAGGGATAGACGCTTAACTGACCAAACCACCCAGGCACCTCTAAGCTATCTCATTCTTGAGAAGTTACAGGAAAACTGGATGTTGTCAAAATTAAAAATAGTTGTGTTTCAAAGGACACCATCAAGAAAGTGAAAAGACGACTCACTGAATGCGAGAAAATACTGGCAAATCTATTAAGAGACATATCTAGATTATATTTTTAAAAATTCCTACTACACAGTAATAAAAAAAAAACCCAATTTTAAAATGGACAAAGGATGTGAATAGACATTTCTCAAAAAAAAAAAACATAAATGGCCAATAAGCACATTATAAGATGTTCAGTATCAGGGCACCTGGGTGGCTCAGTCGTTAAACGTCTACCTTCAGCTCAGGTCATGATCCCACGGTCCTGGGATCGAGCCCCACATCGGGCTCCCTACTCAGCAGGAAGCCTGCTTCTCCCTCTCCCACTCCCCCTGCTTGTGTTCCCTCTCTCGCTATCTCTCTCTCTGTCAAATAAATAAATAAAATCTTTAAAAAAAAAAACACACAAGATGTTCAATATCATTAGCCATCAGGGAAATGCAAATCAAATCCCAATGAGATAACCATTAGGATGGCTACAATCAAAAAGAAAGAAAGACTGGGGCACCTAGCTGGCTCAGAGGAACAGGCAATTCTTGATCTCAAGGTCGTGAGTCCGAGCCCCACACTGAGTAGAGATTATTTCAAAAATTAAACTTAAAGACAAAGATAATAACAAGTGTTGGTGAGGATGTAGAGAAAGTGAAACCCTCAGACACTGCTGGTGATAATGTAAAATGGTGCAGCCACTTTGGAAAACTGGCAATTCCTCAAAAAGATAAATATAGAGTTACCATCTGACCTAGCAGTTCCATTCCTAGGTACATAGCCAAGAGAACTTAAAACAAATGTTTATACAAAAACCTGTATATGAATGTTCACAGCAATATTATTAATAATAGCCAAAAAAGTGAAAGCCCAAATGTCCACCAACTCATGGATGGACAAACAAAATATGGTATATCCACACAATGAAATATCATGCAACCATAAAAAGAAATGCACTACTATTACATGTTAAAACATGGATGCATACTGGCACATGCTAGGTGAAAGAAGCCAATCACACGGGAGCATGTATCATATGATTCCATTTATATGAAATGTCCAGAACAGATAAATCTATAGAGTCACAAAGTTAATGCCTGGCTGCCTAGGGCTGGAAGGACTGAAGGGAAATGGGGAGTGACTCCTCTAACATTAAGGGTTTCTTTTCAGGGTGATAAAATGTTCTAAAATTGATTATGGTGTGGTTGCATAACTGAATATATTAAAAACCACTGAAGACTTTCAATTGGTGAATTGTATTCTATGTGAATTATATTGCAATAAAGCTGTTAAAGAAAGAAAAGGAGGAAGTAGAAGCAGTAGTTATTAAAGGAAAATGTATCCCCAAAACCAAGGAAGCAAATAGAGGGGAAAAAAAGGAACACAGGCAACAGCAAATTCAATATAAGAGAATAGCAAAAAGAAGCAAATCCCAGGATAGATGTGAAAAGAAGTTTCTGGATTAGAACTGAGTACAGCAGGCACAGAACCACCAGATCAGATTAGAACAGAGGAAGATCTCCAGGAAAAAGATGAAATGGACAGTTTTGAGAGTAATTTTGCAAAAAATTTAGATAGGCATATGAGAAATGCTGATGCATTCAGGGAAAAAAAAATTAATGACCTGTGCATGAGTACTAGGCAAATGAGAAAATAAGATAATTATTCATTTTCAGAAAAAAATAATGGGATGTACAAGAAAGAACAGTTGCAGTACTCTGGTATAGCTGTGAAATGTTATATAACACTGACCACTTATCTTCCACGGATAACAGTCAACACTTTATGTGTAAAACTAAAAAATCAGGAAATATCGCCCATAAGGATATATACTTCCAACTTATAAATAAGATCAGGAGAAACTGCTAGCAGAATGGAAATTATGACTGGGGCGTGGGGCTATTTTCTATTCTAAGCTTTTTTTTTTTTTTTTTTAAAGATTTTATTTATTTGACAGAGAGAGAGACAGCGAGAGAGGAGGGCACACAATAGGGAGAGTAGGAAAGGGAGAGGCAGGCTCCCCGCGGAGCAGGGAGCCCGATGCGGGGCTCGATCCCAGGACCCTGGGATCATGACCTGAGCCGAAGGCAGACGTTTAACGACTGAGCCACCCAGGCGCCCCTCTACTATAAGCTTTTATTATTGGTTTTTAAAATCATGTATGTTAACTTGAAAAATTAAATTACTTTTTAAAGAACTTTGTTTCTACAGGGGGCACCTGGGTGGCTTAGTCAGTTAAGCATCTACCTTCGGCTCAGGTCATGATCCTGAGCCCCGCATCGGGCTCCCTGTTCAGCCAGGAGCCTGCTCCTCCTGCTTATGCTCTTTCTCTCTCTCTCTCTGTCAAATAAGTAAATAAAATCTTTAAAAAAAAAAAGTTTCTACAGTACTTCGCAGCTGCTAACAATGACTGAGAAATCAGTGATCCTACTAAAGAAAAGCAAGGAAAGACCTAAATTTATATCTTAAGCATCCAAAACAGTTTCAACTACTTCTTCCAGGAAGCCTTGCCTGATACCTCCAAGCTTCATATTTTCATGGCACTTGGGCAGGTACCATGAGATCTAAAACGAATAGATTAAAAAAACAAACAAAAAAACACTTATGTAGCGGGTACTCTGTCAGGTATAGATAGTACTAAACATTTTTCATTCATAACCTGCCTTTTAACCACCACCCAAACAGGTGGTAGCCATTTCATTCATTTTACAGACGAAGTACCTAATTGAGGTCATTAGCCAAGAGGTAGGGCCGGACTGGTACTCAGGTCCCTAACACCATTCGTTCAAATATTTGCATCTACACAGGCTGACAAGAAACCTGAACTGCCTCCCGTGAGATAATAAAGAAGCATTTATCTCCCGCTGCCGGTGAGGCTTCACTGTTGTTGACCTGCTGGGCCCTCTGGGTTCAGATGAGGCCTCCCAGGTTTGTGCACACTAGCCCCGGGCCTGGCCATGCAGCAGGGACCCAGAAACTCCTGATTCGGATCCGCGCACGCTAATGAGCCTTGCATGGATGCAGGCACCGGCGCCCGCCTGCAGCGCACCAGACGCGCGGGAGGAAGCGGCGCCCGGAGCCCGGGCGACTAGACGCTGACGGGAAGCAGCACCCGGCAAGAAGGACGCAAGCACCATGCTGGGCGAGGAAGGTGGGCTCCGAAAGTCCTGCGCACTCTCTTCACACCTCTTCCATTCCCAGATCACAATCCGTGGATAGGCAGCATCGCCTGCACTCCTAGAGAAGGAAGCGGAGGCCCCAAGAGGAGAGTCCACAGGGACGTGCGCTCGCCGCTGGACTCCCAATCGAGGAGGCCGAGCCACTCAGAGGCTGGAGACGATGCGACCGGGCCTCATACCTGACAAGCCGAGCACTCCGGCCTCGCGAAGTCCCAGCAGGAGTGGGCAGCCGCGGCCCGCGCTCGTCCGACCCGCGGGGCCCACACCCTCCTCAGCGCTTCCCGCGTCTCAGCACGCGTGTCTCGCGCCGGCCCCGCCCCTGTCTCCACGGCGACGCGGCGTGCGTGTGACACGCCCCTCCAGGGACTCTAGAGTTCGCGCAGCCTCAGTCCGATAGGTGACACGCCTCCTTCTGGCAGCCGGAGAGCACCGGCAAGGCTGTGTTGGCCCCAAAGTGCGCGGATGAATACGCCGTCTGTGCAACCTCAAGGTGGGCTTTCGGACTCCTCGGCCTACTCGCTTCTCTCAGAGCTCAGCTTCCTACAGCCACTCTTAGACAAGAGAAGTAGGAGTTATTTCGAATCGGATTCCCGAGCTACGCCTCACGCGGCAGGGACTAGGGATGAGGCCCACGCGGACGAAGGCCCTCCTTCCCCCCACTTCCAGGCTCCCGCGTGAGCCTCTCTAGCTCTTGGTTCTCGATGGTTCCCAGCCGGTGCGAGCCAGCCCCTAAAGAGTAGGGCGCGCGCATGCGTGGACCAGGGAGGTTGTCAATCTGAAGGGCAAGGGATATGTTGTTCCGCGGCCCCCGAATTTAAATGATCCCAGGCTGGGATCTTCTCTGAACCCTTCCTTAAAAAATGTATTTAAGCACTAATTGTTAGTAAATAGTCGTTAACTTTTTTTTAAAACTCTTATCTTTTAAAAAATAGGAGTAAGGGAAGGTAGGTGGGGCACTTTCATATGCTTTTCTCCTGCGCTTTGTAAAACATTTGAAAGCACATGAGATTTTTGGTGGAGACAGCAAAGGCTAGCATTATGTACTTAAATGCTTGAAAGATTTTATATTACAAATATGAGGTAAAATAACTTGTTGGGTGTCCTGGGATTAAAGTCACACAGGTAGTTTGCATTTTTGCTGGATTTTCTACATATGCTAATTTTTGTTACTAAAAAACAGGTGTTTAAAAGAAGTTCCACTTTAGCAGGACACGGGAACCAATCTTTTAGGGATGACTAATTTAGTGAGTTTCAAAGTCCTAATTAACACTAATATTTACTAACTGTAAAATTAGTCTTATAAGTACTTTATGCTTTCTAGATGATTTGCTGATGCTTTATTCCTGTCATGTACCTTTACTACCGTCAACTTTGACTAATTTAGGAAGGGATGAAAGGCATTTTCGAATTATTAATGCAAATAATTACTCCTGTCAGGAAAGATTAGAACAGTATAGAGTAACAACAGCTAGTGCAGCAGCACTTACTCAGTTGGCTCTGTTTTAAGTACTTCCCATAAATAAAATCAAACATGTAAAGCACCAGAAAGGGTAGAGGCTCTGCAAAGAATTTGTGTGGTCTTCCAAAATTCCCTTAATTTCTTTATAGTCCTTAACCTGAGTACATTATGCCACACATCTGTGAAACTGTTCAACTCTTTTTCTTAGAACCAGGGATTACCCTTAGAGCAAGAAAAACTGAACAGGAAAAAAACGCATTTAGAGAGGCACTGTCTAGTTGAGGTGTAATCCCAACTTTCTGACATAAGGCTGCTCTAAAAATTACTAGGTTTCTAGTATTTTCATCTGCTTCTCTACTGCTCTTGGACTGCTAATTTCCCCAACTGACTGAACTTTTGAGCCCCCTTATGCCAAACTTTGAACCAACAACTGAACCTAAATGAAGATCTTGCAAATACTTAGTAAAGAACAAGAGTAAATAATTTCTCTTATTCTCTCAAGGAGCCTCTCATACAGATATTTGAAAATTCATTAATTGCAAAAAGGGGCATTTAGAATTACAAACTATCATTCTTACCGAGAATATTCAAAAGCTACAATTAAACAAGGATTTGCAAGCATCTAGGTTTTGTATGACACAGGTGACCCTCCCTTAGTAAATTACTACCTTTATTCCCAGGTACTAATTTGCATCTCCTTTCACAAGGACAAATTGAGTCTGAGAGATAAGTGAGTTGAGACCAAGGTTCTACAAGATACTAAAGGAGAGCTTGGTGGAAGAGTACATCCCAACTAGGACAGACCGGAGGGCCCAGGAAATTAGCTCCAGGCCAGGCGTCTACCATGGTAGCTACAATGCCTTGAGCAGATTTTATGTGTAGTTGTGGTAATTTTAACGACTGAGCCACCCAGGCGCCCCTTTTGGTAATTTTAAAATATGTCCAAAAATTTTTTGACACTTCTGTATAAAAGTAGTCTAAGTCCCCTCCCCTTAGTGACTTCTTAATAGAATACAGCATGTGGCAGAACACTGAATGACTCCGAGGCTAGGTTAGAAAAGGCAGTTCAGCAGCTGGCTGCCCACAGAATCCTGCCACCATGTTGTGAGAAAAGCTCGGGCCACAGAGAGGGCATGTATAAACGTTCCAGTCAACAGCTCCAGGAGTCCCAGCCGACAGCCATCAAGCACCAAATATGTGAGTAAGCGAGCCATTAGATGGAGCAGAAACCAGGTGTCTTGCAAAATAAATAATTGAGTTAAGCCACTGAGTTTTGGGGTGGTTTATTACACAGGAATAAGGACAATGTTCTTAATATCTCTAATTCCTCAAAAGTAGGTACTACTATCCTTTTTTGACAAAGGAGTAAACAGGTCCAGAAAAACGAAATGACTGGCTCAGGTTTCACACCAACTGGCAGAACCAGAATATAAGAGCTTCAAAGAATGGGCCTTCTTCATTATATCTGATAGCAAAAGGATTATACCATTATCCTCAACCTTAGGAAGAACCTGATTCCAAAAGCAACTTGATTTCTAAAATATTAAGACGAGCATTGTTTCATTACCTACAATGTGCCTCTGAATAGGCTTAAAAAAATAAAAAGGCAGCTTTACGGAGGTTGTGTAAGGCTTTTTACCCAACTTATCCTTTTTAATATTGATAACAGCCCCTGTGAGATGGGTTATCATCTTTCCAATTTTATTGATTAGAAAACCAAGGCTAAGGATAAAGAACTGGCCTAACCCCAGCCTGTAGGGTGTGGCAGAACTGGGATGCAAACTCCGGCCCAATTTGCAAATGTTTCCCTCTGCCTCTTGCCTGCAAAGATCGTTAACACATGTTATTAAAAAAAAAATTGAAACACATTTTATTCAGTATTACAGACTAAAAGAAAAATGTTTTCATAATTTTCTCGGTTGCCAAGACTCATAGGAAGGGAACTTGGCGATCACTCAATGCCCAATCCCCTTATTTTACAAGTCAAGTTCAAAGTAGGCCCCTTCAAAGAAATGGAGACTTCACTACCCTTTAGCGAGAAAAACTGCGTTTCCCTCTACGCCCATGTAACATTTCACAGCAAGCCCGGGCGGTCAGCACGCGACAGAAATTGGGGCTGGGGATATTCCTGCAGACCGGGCTCACATGTGATCTCCGTCAAACCTTTACTGATGGCTCCTCCCCAGCACGGCAATTACTCTCATTTCTCAGAGTAGGGAAATTGTTTGCATTGCTGTGCACCCATTTGCCAAAGTCTCGCCACCTGGGACTATGCGCTTCACATTCGCCGTCTCATTTTCACCCAAACACTCGCACTTCCCCTTCCCGTGCAGGCGTAGAAAGACTCGGGTTATGGGCGGGGGAAAAAAAAACACCTTTCCATGAATCTGTCAGTCGCCTTTAGCTCAATCAAAAGCAATGGTGGCAAGTTTGTTAATGCAACAACATACAATCACATAAATTTATAGAGAGGAGCCATTTTAGAAAGAAAAAGGGAGAAAAAGGGCTTTGCCCAACATTACGCCACTAATGAAAAACCTGAGATTCGAGCCCACAAACGCCAGGCTCAAAAGCCCCCAGGTTCGCCTCAGACTGCCACCGCCGAAGCCCCACGGTTCCCCGCCGTCGCGAACCGTGCGAACGCAGCAGTCGTCGCGCTCCCAAATCGCACCAGGCCGCGGACCCCGGACCCAGACTTCGCTGGGACCACCGCCTTCCAGGGAGAGCTGCCAGGCGCGGACTGCAGGCTCCCAGCACCGCCCGCCCCTTTCCGCTCCGCCCCGCCCCGAAGCGCTCGTGGGAACGCAGCGTCCTCCCGAGGGCTGCCCAGGACGACCGCCTGCGCGCACCGAGAAAGGCTTCCGCCGCCGCTGCCCCAGCCCCCTCCCCGCCGTCGCCATCTCCTCCCCGCCTCCGCCTCCCCGCCGCCGGGCGCACGCTGGGGCCGGCGTCCGGGGAGCGCGCCGCAATGTTTCTCTTTTCCGCCCGGCACCGCCGCGGCCACCTCACATCCGGGCGCGCAGTGGCGAAGGCGGTGCTGGGGCCCGGGTGCGTGGAGGGAGTTATTAAGGCGGAGGGGGTCTGGGAGGAGGGGCGGAGGGTTGGGCTGTGGTTACGGCGGCTGAAGAGAGACAGTCCAAACGGGTGGGGGGGCGAGAGCGAAGGCCTCGCGGAGCAGCCCTCGGACCGGCGCGGGCGGCGGGGAGGGGAACGGCGGCCGAGGCAAAGGGCCGCCGAGCGGCGGAGGCACCGAGTAAGTGCCCGGCGGCAGCGGGAGCTGGGGCGCCTCGCGCCAAGGGCCGCAGGGAGGGCAGGAGCGCGGGCGCGCTGCTCCTGGGGTCGCGTGCGTGAGCGCGACCGCCGGGGTGCGCGCGGGGGGCGGGCAGGGGCGCGAGGCCAGCGGGGCGGCCGGCGGGCAGCAGGCGGGCGGGCGGGCGGGCTGGCGGGGCCCGAGCCGCCGGGCCGGGGCGGACGGCGGCGGGCCTGCGCCAGCTCCAGCTTGGAGCAGCCGGGCCGGGGGATTCGGCCTCCCCGCTCCCTCCGGCCCGCCTCCCCTCCGTGAGTACAGTCCCCGCCCTTCCTCCTAAGGAGGCCGCTGGGCCGGGGCCTGCGCGAGAGGCCGGGGGTTGGGGTCGCGGCCCGGGAAAGCAGAGTTTCGGAGCTGGAGCCGGCGCTCGCCCCTTCGTTGCCACGGGCGCCCCTGACATGGCCACAGGTGCCGCCGGCCGGGTGAGGGGCGCTCGGGCCCCAGCCCCTGGCCCCTGGATAACAAGGGGCAGCTGGCGCCGTCCATTGGCAAGTGACAGGCACTTTACCACAGTCCGACTTCCCGGATCCCCAACCCCAACCAGTGTCCTACCTGCCCCCACTCGGGAAACTTCCCCACTACTGTCTGAATGGTCCTCGTGGGTGGCAATGACTAATTTTGGGGTTTTTTTGTCTTAAAGCTGCTTAAAGGCTGTGCCCTGATGTGGGTACCTTCCCCTTTGGCTTTCCTTAGCCTTTTGATTCTTAGAGCACTTTACTAAGAAGAGATAAAGTACCAGTCATTCTATTTTCAAGTGGGTTCTGGTTTTGTTGGGTGAGGCTTTGTTTTTTTAAAGGTAGTCACTTTAAGAAATAAGAGTTTCAGTGTTTTAAACGGTCAAGACTTCTGAAAATGTATTGTTCCCCATGACAGTTTCGCTGATTTATCTTCCAGGTGCAAAGAATTGTAGACCAAGGAGCCATGGATAGGAGAAGTTTGGGTGAAACAGAAAATGGAGATGCTTTCCTTGACCTGAAGAAGCAGCCAGCCTCCAAATCCCCCCATCGCTATACAAAAGTAAGCATTGTTACTAATGAAATAGTGTTTCTTTGTAGATGGAGAGATAGTAACATTGTTTAGGTATTTCATTAGTATTATCTAAAGTGAGAGTCTCATTCTGACTGTATAGGCTGAATATTAACTAGATTTAATAAAGCATTGCTTTGAACTTTTTTCTGCAAGTGTGAATATGCAGTTTAAACTAGAATTTGCTTCTAATTCTCTTTTGGGTAGAGGAAATATTGGCTCCTATGGCATATGAATTTGTGGATCAGCATATGTTGGCACACATGTTCTATAACAACTGTGTGTAACTGGTATGTTACTGACTTAGATGCTCTAGAGTAAGGATTCCAGTTCTGGCATGCAAATCACTCAAGGTCCTGTACTTACTGAAGCTGTTGCTTCAGTATCTTATTGGTCTCTGGATGTTTCTGAAGGGGTTAACAGGACTCATGGAGATGTGAATTAATTTCTCATTCCCTGAAATGTATTGGGCAGAGTACAAAAAAAATGTTCTTGGGACGGTTGATGAGAAGAGTCATGTTCTAGTTGGTCCCATATCTCTATTCCCTAAGTACGGACCCAGTCAAGTGTTCTGATGTGGTTATTGTCCCTGACTTTCCAGAACACTGACTGGCTAATATGTGAAGTCAGGCCTTGTTTATGTACTAGGGCCACTACTCAGACCTACTTGATAAAGTATCTAGTGCTGTCAGAGGAATATTCATTTTTAGCATTTAAAAAAAAACAAAAAACACTGATGGCATTTTATTCAGATTTGGTCTTCACAAATGTAGTTTTTCTCAAACCTGAGAGTACTTGAATAACTTTCACAACTTAAATTCATTGACCTAAAATGTTGACAGGTGAATTCTGAATGGAGAAAAGCTTATTCAATGAAGGGGAACTAATTTGAACTGCTTTCTTAAGCTTATGTGATTTCAATTCTCCTAGCACTTTTATTCAAAAAGGTATTCTACTTGTAGAGTCCACACAGAGAAGCTTTTGCATCACTTTCACACTGATCAGAGGATGGCATGTCATCTTTATGTATATCCATATTTAGGCTTAAGTCATTTTGGGGGAAGGTAGTATTGGTCTTTCTTAGGCTAGAACTTATGTGTGTGTAAAGATTAAGAAGCTCAATATTGCCCATTTTTGATAGTCTAGTCTCAGAATTCTGTCATACTTAGATAAATGTGCCTCAAAGAAATTAAGAAAAGCATTTTTTAGATTAGTGACAGTGGAGCTTAGATTTAATGGTCTTCTCTACCAACTTTAGTTGGAAATTGGTTTACGGTCCACTCCATTAGAGAAGATTTAGTTAATGTCAGTTTTGGGATCATGTTTAGGCAGTGTTTGGGTAGTGATTTCATACATATGTGTTTCTCTAGTAATGTAGTATTTGAAGAAAGCTTGAAACAATCCTGTATTCTGAGAACTATAATAAATGGTCTGTTGCACAACTGGAATAATACTTGAGCCATCCGGGCGCCTGGGTGGCTCAGTTGGTTAAGCAACTGCCTTCGGCTCAGGTCATGATCCTGGAGTCCTGGGATCGAGTCCCGCATCGGGTTCCCTGCTCAGCGGGAGGTCTGCTTCTCCCTCTGACCCTCCCCCCTCTCATGCTCGCTCTATCTCATTCTCTCTCTCAAATAAATAAATAAAATCTTAAAAAAAAAAAAATACTTGAGCCATCCTACTCCTTATCTCCATATTGAAATCAAACTATTGGCGTAAATAAAGCATTAATGTTTCTGCCACTTCAAGTTCATGGGCTAGAAAGTTTAGAAGCAGGAGAAGGAAATTGTTCTGATTTTTATAAGTTATGTGTTTTATGAAAACTGGTAAACGTAGGATGTTTACCACAAGATCAAAAAAACACATTCTCCAGATGAGAGGGCCTCTTAAACTTTGACCTTTCTTAGTTTAGCATTCATTCGTTTTATGAGCTAACGTTAATAGTCTGTTCAGAATTCTAGGGTTTTTTCCATGGGTGGAGGAGTCCAGGAGTTTGGCCTAGTGCTTTTCAGGGTAACATCAGAGTCGCCTGTGTGTTACGGCATTCTTTAGTCCAGCTTCCTAAACATTGATATGTTTGGTGATTACCAATAAACCCTTGTAAAATGTGAATTCTGGTTGTTAGGTCACAAGTGGGTTTCAAAATCTAGCTTTTTAACCTGCTCCCAGGTGGTACCTGTACTGCTGGTCCACTGATCATACTTTGAGTGAGAAGGCTTTAGTCTTCTTGGAGAACTTGGTATATGGTCTTGATGTAGTCAAGCAACTCTGATGCATAATTACTCCCTAGGGTTCAGTTGGTGTCCATTGTATTTCCATGAATGTCTCAGGAAGTCAAGTTAGAATCACGTTAGATACTTTCAGGCCTACCCCTAGGCCTCAATGATGATTAATTGGGATGCTTATAAGTGGATTTATCATATACACCTGTTATCCTGAGAGTCTGAGCGCTTAATTTATAAGCCCATAAGGTCCATATTGGCAGGCCAGGGTCCTAAGACCAAAAACTGTTTCTGGTGGTACTTAAATGTGTCATTTATAAAGTGATTGAATTATGCTGAAGGTCTTCTGGAGGCTATAGGGTGGGATCTCACTGCAAAATCATGGATTAAGAGTGTTTTTAGACAGTGGTTCTCGAAGAGTAGTCCCTAGACTAGCATTTAGCACCACCTGGTAACCAGTTAGAAATACAAAATCTCAGGTCCCATTTCAGTGGTATTAAATCAGATTTTAGGGGTATGGCCCAGCCATCCACATGTATTAAGTCTTTCAGGGAATTCTGACTCTGATTCAAGTTTGAGGACCATTGGTTTAGAAAACAAGGGGTGCCTGGGTGGCTCAGTCGTTAGGCGTCTGCCTTCGGCTCAGGTCATGGTCCCAGGGTCCTGAGATCGAGCCCCACATCAGGCTCACTGCTCAGCGGGAAGCCTGCTTCTCCCTCTCCCACTCCCCCTGCTTGTGTTCACTCTCTCACTATGCCTCTCTCTGTCAAATAAATAAATAAAATCTTAAAAAAAATCAAGAAGAGGTGGTCATGCTTATTAATGGAAAAACTTTGGGACCTATCAGCTTACCTTCATCAGAGGTCCTTGTTTTACCAGTTCTTGGGTGTAGTACCTACTATTAGTGATACCATTTATTGCTCCAAAACAAAAAAAAAAATGCTTTGGACTGTTCCACTATTCAGATTCATGTTCTTTTTCTTTGAGTGGACAGACTGATTTTAGAGTATACATACTTGGTACTGTTCCTTCTTTGCTCCTGTTTCTTGCCACTGATTCCTTATTAAGTGTTACCACCTGCCAGTTGAACAGGGTATAAAAGCAGGGAACACTCATAACATTCAGCTTGATACTGACCAGTGTTAATCATATACGTTAAATCTACCACCTAAAAAGTGGGCATTGG